ACTGACAGGCGACTCACTCACCGCCAACCGAGAATCACACGCGCAAGCGGACGACTGAGTTCGCACACTGGCACTTCCCGCGCTTTCGTCCCTCCGGGCTGTTTGCGCATGCGCGTCTGTACCGGAACTTCAATCCCGTACGCCTCAACGGGAGCACTGGGCGAAAAACAATTACTTCTTAGCATCCTTCCTTCTCTCTCTCTTAGCCTTTTATTTTTTAGCCTTCTTACTTTACAGGTTATTTTCTGAATGAATCATAAAATATCCCATAAACCATTGCGTCGTTTTATGTGATTTCATACAATGGTTTTGCGATATCTTAATTATTAAATCGTATTTTGAAAAGAGAGGTAAAGTTTTCAAGTCATACATATCAGAAGGACCTCTGTCATATATCTTCTTAATTTCACAACCTTAGTCGATCTCTGGGCCGGGAACTAATCGACTAGCTCCATGAATCAGAATTATTCCTGAGAATCTGATAGTCGATTGGGTTTCACATTTCCCTATCTTTACGGTGTTCACAAAATTTCGTTACTGGGTCATATCCTGAGCCTGATGAATCCAGTCCACCCTAATTTTAAAGGCATATTTTAATAATATTCCCTCATCTATTCCTAAGTCTACCTACACTGCCTTACCGATGTGTATTTGCGTCGGCAAGGCAAACCCGCCAATCACACGTACAGTACGGCACAAATACAAACTAAAACATGTATTTCTTTATTTGTATTTCTCGTTCAGTCGTTTCTGTCTCATAAACTCCTCGTTTCTCACGTGTATCGCGGGAAATTTCCAGCAGAAAATGTCCCATTTCCTCAGTCCTGACGGAAGTTCATCTGAGAGCAGTCGCCGGGAACAGGCAGGAACTCTGGGCGTTTATGCGTTGTCAGGGAGACAAGTCAAGCAAATCCTGTTGTAAGACAATTGCCAGATTTATGGCAAATTCAGCAGACAAGCTAAGTGGCCTTCGCCCAGTATTTTCTTCTTGTCTTTCAGAAACGTCAGGGGCGACCAACTGGTGTCCCGTAGTCCATTTATGGCTTCTAGGATCAAGTATCAGAAGGTAATGGTTAAAACTCCTGCTTCATATTCTGAACGCCCCTGGTTTATAATCTCGAACAGATGACCGTGATATTATTTTATATTTCTTTATGGCTTCTAGGATCAAGTATCAGAGGGTAATGGTTAAAACTCCCGCTTCATATTCTGAACGTCCCTGGTTTATAATCTCGAACAAATGACCCTGATATTATTTTATATTTTCTTATTTCCTCTACGCAAGTTCTTTGACAGTAGCTTAAACACACCGAGGTCACTAACAATTATTTCTTTTTCAAATTTATCATTCGTGAAAAGCACTGAATTTCAGCGTTCTGTATTTCTGCGCCGACAGGCTTTGAATAATAATCCTTTTCATAATTTAAGGTAGCTACATAACAATTAAAATCTAACATGGCGGCCGAGAGGTTAATACGGCTTGGTACTCGGGAGAACTCGTGTTCAAATCTAGAAGGGGAGACCGGTTAAACTGACTAAGGTTTATCGTGATTCTCTTCAGTCCGTCCAGGCAAATGCCGGAAAAGAACCTTGCATTAGGTCACTAATTATTTCGACCATATCCTTTCCAGTTAATTATTAACAATCTTCCAATCATTCGACGCTACTGACAGCCAGTGAACCACAAATCAATTAAAAGCATAACAGCTAAAATATACGCATGTAGAACTGCTGAATTAACAAGATTCAGACATTAAAAGATACGAAATCTGTGATTACTGGTATCACATTAAGTCTCGGTGGTGCCAGGCTTGGCAATGGTGTCACCGGTTCGCCAATCCTTGCTTAAGGAACTGCGTAGAATGCCTCAATCTGCGAGGACTTTAAGTGCGTTCGTATAGTCTACGTGAATGTAGACCTCCTTCTTGCGCTGTGAATTTGCATAAGTGGAACCCCAGATTTGGATGTGGGGTTCATGGCGGCATTGCCAACTTGGAAGTCGAATTTTTTACCAGCTTTTCGTTTTTAAGTGTTATCATTCGCTGCTTCAACTATCCTCCTGAAAAAATAAAATAAAAAGTAGAAACACTCAAGTCAGCTAAGTTGTCGAAGAACTTGTTTCAGCCGATAACCGCAAGGAAAAACAACTTGGTGTTAGATTTCAAGGTCTAAATGTTGAAATACGCCAACTAGCGGCAGTGTCTATAAAAACTAAAACAATGAGAACGTTGAAAGTCAAAGAAAAACGAACCCTAGACCGTCAGTTTAAAAAAACGGGAGCCGATTGAGAGTCAAGAAGGTTAAGATTAATATTATTCAAATAATATAAAAAGCAGTTCCTTACAAACACATGTGATACATATTAATTAATCTCTTCCGGGGAATTGCACGACACGTAATGCAAGCAGACGGATATTTCAGTATATAAAATAGCTGCATCATTTAATTTGTAAAATAATTCTGTGAGAAGTGCTGTGTATAACATATTTATCGAAATGTGAATAATAACATTGCACAGAACCTTGAAGTAGACCCGCACGAAACCGTGTCTTATGGTCTCCATACTTTGGTTTATATCCTGATTTGTGTGGATGCCAATTCTATTTATTTATTGGATGAAGTTTACCCCCGCCATCCCCAAGGGACGGTGCTTACTATTTCCATAAATATTTATAACACTAGTAAACAATTCTTTGGTTCACTTTCTACATGTTATGCTCTTGTTCCGTATTTTTCATTCTTCTTTCATCAGCAAGTAGCTTCTTAAATTGATTCGTTGAAACTTAAATAATTTATTTATTTTTGACATTTAATCATGTCGTTCATAATAATCATGAAAGTCAAAGAAGATACAATTTCTGGAATATTGCGTAGTGCAGTCTGCTAGAAACTGACCAACGTTTCAGAGGTGCTTATTGCTTCCATCATTAGGGCGATAATTATGATGCGTAAATCGGGCCAGACAAGTCATGGCTGAAGAGTTTTGCACACATTTACATTACCTATTGCTTCCATCATTAGGGCGATAATTTTGATGTGTAAATCGGGCCAGACCAGTGATGGCTGAAGAGTTTTACACACATTTACATTACTTTTTGTAATGTTGAATATATTTCATTTGCAATTATTTACTAATTAGTCTCAAAATAGGTTTAATAGAAGGAATAACATAGAACATTGTGAATTTTCTAATATGAATTTACAAGGTTCTTTAGCTTTATGAGATTTTAGGTTATGACGGCGGTAATTATATGATGTCGAGCCATGTACTCTCGTAGAAACGGACGGGAGTTTCAGGGGTTCGTACTTCGTCCATCAGCAGGACTACGCGTACTTCATTCGTCAGTCTGACCAGGTTTTGACCTGAACTGTGCTGAACTTTTAATGTATTTATGAACGAATCTCGAAGAAACGTCACACATGAAGAGTTCGCTTTCGTGAAAAATAAATTCACGGACTTTGGATCACGTACGAGTAAACGCGGTACACTGCGTTCTTCCGCTAGCCGATATTATCGTTCCAAAACGATGGGCTTTCCTGGCGGAGGAAGACAACTTCCATCTGTATCGATACAGCCAGCGTCTTCGATTCCTCTAGGGAACTTCAGCTTTTCTAAATTGAGTCCCGTCTGGGAGGACAACATTTCTTTCAGCCAGAAAGTTTATTTCGAAAGGAAAGTGTCTCAGACACAATGTGCTCCTAAGCGCAAACCGTTCAAAAGAAAATCCGAAATGTATTGCATCTGGGTGAATTTTCGGTTTTTCAGGGCGACGCGTATGAAAATGGCTGTCATCTGGGTTTTTGTGCAGTGAATTCCGGTATACGTTCACGGACGTTTCAGAAGTGCTTGCTGCATCATAATGGAGGCAGAAAACAGTACTTATCTGTGAAGTAGTTTTGATCGCTGTTAGTAGTAAACTGATTAGGCCCTTGTCTACATTTCACGATTATTTGCTTACGTAAAATGTCAATGCAGAAGTGCAGTAGCCTATTACGAGATCAAATAAAAATAGTTGTCCATATTTTTCTATAAATTGCTTTCTCCTTCTATGTACTATAAAGAAGTGGTTCTTAAAGGATTTTTTTTAAATAGTAAGAAATGGGGCTTGCAGTATGCGAAATGAAATTTCTTCTGAGGGTTGAAACGCCTTTGAAAACGACGACAGGACAAAGGAACTAGTTTTGTCGTCTATTTTGATATGTGGCATACAGAAATTAAATTCCAATTGAAACTGGTTCTAAGAAATACGCAGTGAGATGTAAGTAAAAACAAAGAGGAAGGATCATAATACGCTAGAACTAGTTTATAACACAGGCGGATTATCATTACAACACAGTTATGGGCTTAGCAGTACCTCCGGAAATTAATTCCATCAGGTAATATATATTTTCTCATTGCCAGGGGTAAATAAATCTCGACTCTTTAACTATGTCTTAACACGGGACTATTGAAAGTACCCCATCACATGATTTTACGTGCCCGTCTCTAACTAAGGTGGAGAGTATGGAAATACCTAAACCAACGATTCTCAAACAGAAATTTTCCGTGGGTGAATTAATAAACAAAATAAGTTGCGTTTGTCGCAGTTATTTATAATATTTTTATGATTTAAGTATTTAACAGATAATAAAGGGAATATAAAGACTGGACACGCAAAAGAATTTAGTTAACCGCATTTATTACCAAAATAAAGTCGGACAGAAACTTAATTAAAACTAACCCCATACAGCGAAGTTCTCTTTGAAAAGATGGTTGTCGAAGCATTCAAAGAATTTCTCGCCTTTTGTGCTACCCGAAGTTTTATCACCGTGTTTAAAACATCCGAACATCAACCAGCCCTTATCCCGAGCTAGATGAACCCATTTTATACCTTCCACCGTGTTTCCGGTAAGGTGTTGAAAATATATATAAAAATCTAAATCCGTTTAGTTCTGACTTTTGTGAATTTATGTAACTTAGATCATAAATTAACGCATAGTTT